GCGGCGCGGCTCGGTTACTGGCGGCGCGGCGCGGCAGCAGGCGGCGCGGCGCGGCAGGGCAGCGCGGGTGCTTACCAGGGGCGGGTGCAGGGCAGGGCCGCAGCTGGCTGTTTAGGTCAGGGCCGCGACCGGGGCGGCAGCAGGGCAGGGCCGCGACAGGGGCGGCAGTAGGGCAGAGGCCGCGACGGGCGGCGAAGACAGGGCCGCGACAGTGGCGGCAGCAGGGCAGGGCCGCGACAGGGGCGGCAGTAGAGCAGGGTTGCGACAGGGTGGCTGCAAGGCAGAGGCCGCGACGGGCGGTGAAGGCAAGGCCGCGACTGGGGCAGCAGCAGGGCAGGGCCGCGACAGGGGGCGGCTGCAGGGCAGTGGCCGCGACAGGGCGGCTGCTGGGCAGAGGCCGCGACGGGCGGCAAACGGGCCGACGACGGGCGACGACGGGCCGACGACGGGCGGCAAAGGGGCCGGGACGGGCCAGCGACGGGCTGGGACGGGCCGGGACGAGCCGAGACGGGCCGGGACGGGCCAGGTCGGGCCGAGACGGGCCGGAACAGGCCGGGACGGGCCAGTGACGGGCGGCACGGGGCCGCAGTGGGCGGCTAAGGCAGGGCCGCGACGCGTGGCGACGGGCCAGCGACGGGCAGCGACGGGCCGGGACGGGCCGGCTGAGACAGGGCCGTGACGGGCCAGCTAGGGAAGGGCGCACGACGGCGCAGGTAAGGCAGGCGCGAGGCGCGCTTCGGGCAGGGCAGGAAAAAAAATGTTCGTGGTGGGCCCTAAAAAAACGTTCCCACGAGGGAACCTGCTCAGAATACCATGTTAGAATACTGACCGAATGAATGACTGAACTAGCAAACAAGTGGGTACAAGTAGGAAACCTAAAAGTGTTGTACCCTATAAGAACTACCCCACTACAGCCTAGATAGACTATAGCATATATGTTTGACAGAGCGCCTGTACAGGTCGGAGTTGGAATAAAATCCTGCAGTGAAGTTGGCGCTTCTGTGAACTTCGCGTGGAGTTGGAGTTAACTGCTGCGCAGGAGTCGGTGGAGTGCCGTTGATGAGAACTGGTGCCGTCGAAGAACCCGCGATTGGTGCTGTAGGTGTTGCTGCTGTTGCTGATGTTGTCTCTGCTGCTGTCGATGTTGTTTCTTCTTGTCGGATTGTTGCTAATGCCCTTGTTCTTTCTGCTTCAGGTATGGTATGTGAATACCAGAATCCTCCAGGACTGAAGTCGGGGTCGAGATCGGGTGGATGTGTCCAAGAAGTGAAGTTGATGATGGTGTCGCTCTCGGCGGTACCTTGGTCCGGGACGAAGTCAAGAACGAAGACGTTGTTTTTTAAGACTGCCTTGCCGATGTAGAGTCCGCCCTTTCCGTGGAATAACTTGAACTCCTGAGTTGTGTTGTCTGCTTCGAGGTGAATGCCCTCTGCCATCAGTTGACTGACGCTGAGTAAGTTGTAGCCGAGTCCTTTTGCAATTAGAACTTTAGACATTTGTAAAATAACGTTAGTTTCTCGAGACTGGAGTTGCACGATCCCTTGTCGTCGTGTGTGCAGATTCTGGTTGTTGGCGACGGTGATTACAACTTCGCGCTGAAATTGATGTTCCTGTTGAACGAAGCGACCCGAGGAACACATGTGCTGTCCGCAGCAACTATCCAAGAACCAAGTGTCTTTTTCGGACGGCTCGCTCTAGGCGATGGCTGCATACGTCGGGTTGGGCTCTAGTGATTCGCGGCGAGGAGTCCTCTCATCGAGCTGTTCTTTTGGTGAGTAGTGTCAGAACATTATAGCTTATACATTTGTGTAGGCTGTAGTGGGGTAGTCAATAAGGGGTACAACCCAATTAGGATTAGTACTTGTACCCAACTCATTCATAGTTCATTTTTTTCTTGCTTGTAACTTTGACAAGTAGTGGGGTGGTGATCCGGTGATGCAGGAGTCTGTTGTTTTTGTCATGCAGCTCACGATGTTTCTTGTTCCTTGTGCAGGTTTTGTCGTTGAAGACATTGAAGACTGCACTTGATTGTTGGGATGTGCCTACGTAGAAGCTACTTGGCTGCTTGAAGGCCGAAGTTGACGTTGCGGTGTGGTCGACTGCTGCTACGACTTTGATTAACACTGTCTATTGCTTGATACAGGTTCTTCAGGTGGTCGTACGCCAGCTCGGCGGAGTTGCCGTATCCTCGATAAGACCGAATGTTCAGCTGCTCGTTTGGCGTTAAATTTCGAAGAAGTATCGTGTACGCCATCAGTGACTGATACGTATACTGCTGCTTGTCATATTGTGTCCCATGCGTTGGGTATGGCAGGGACCCATCGAAGAATCCAAGTATTTGCGCGCCCTCCATCATCTGCTCAAATTCGAATGACCAGGTATATAAGTTCTTTCCGTCGAAAGGCGTTGATGTCTGCAGTTTTAACACATGTGCGAATTATGATTGAACTTGAAGTGCGTCCAATGCCTTCTCTTGTCCAGGTGAAGAGTGCGGTTGTGGCGCGAAACTGATGGAGCCACGTTGAGGCTCGTACGGAGCATAGGTGGGTTGCTGCTGATTTCCGCGCGCATAGGATGAACCGTCAAGGCTCATCGGTGTTGCTCTGTTGTTGTCGCTGTTGTTTGATTGCGCAGGAGCTGCTTGCTGATGTTGCTCCTAGAAGGACATGAAGGAGAAGATTTTCTCTATCATGTTTGGGTCGAAACCTGCTGCTTGATTCCCGGGAGTTTCGGTCGACTCCGTAACTGGTCTTGTTGCTGTGCCTTCCTCTGTCTGTAGGCCAGAGGCTGGAGGTGGAGTAGGAGTAGTGCCGAGGGATCCGTTAGAGAAGCTCCTTTCCTTCTGTGTTGCCATGTCTTGCGTTGTTGTAGGTTTTTTAGAAATCGATCTTGCCCTGTTTGCCCTGATACCATGTTGGGCTGAGAAAAGCCCTTAGGATCTTTCGAGGCTAAGATCTCTTCGTTGAAGTAGAGATGTTGTAGTTGCGGAAGCGTTTTAATATCAGAGTTGCTAAACCACATTGTACTAGTATGTGAGAACAAGATAAGTTGATAATGGCAGAGTAATACAAGGCTTTTATATGATTACAAAGGAATATGAAAAGTTATACTTTAACTATTTTTGCTGTTGCGGTTCGATACAGTGCCGACTCGGGTAACTGCTCAGTACCGAGTCAGTTATGTGTCCTTGCTGTCGCACTGTATTTTTCGTCGAGTCAAAGGTCAGCGACCTTTGACCTTCGCGTAACCTGCAGCGGTTGCTTTTGTTGACTCATGTTGCTTCACTGTAGTCTGCTCCGTTTCGTGTTGATACTTCGATACTTCAGAAGCGTTTTAGTTACTTGTTTCCAACAATTCTAATCCATCAGTCACATATCCAGGTTTCTGTTGGAAACAAATAGTTATCGCTTCTGAAGTATCGAAGTAATAACACGAACGAAGCAGACTACAGTGAAGCAACGCGCGAGTCAACCAAGGAGGTTAAAACGTAACAGCTGGAGGTTACGCGAAGGTCAAAGGTCGCTGACTTTTGACTTGACGAAATACAGCACGACAGTAAGGACAAACAATTGACTCGGTATTGAGCAGTTGCCCGAGTCAACACTGTAACGTGTTGAGATAATGAACGAACCGCAACAGCAAAACAGTTAATCGCGCCTCTTCGTATTCCTTGTAATCATATGTATATTCTTGTATCTCTTTGCTTTAAATCAATCTATCTTGCTCTCACATACTAGTGCAAGGTGGTTCAATAATCTTATTATACGCTGCCGCAATTACAACATTTCTACTCCAGATCTTAGTCTTGAAGCTGTACGTGCGACCTTCTCCACCCATATCCTGCTTATATAGACGTACATACAAAACGTATTGGCTAGTATGTTGGACTAAAAATTATAGCTTTACATTTCAACTGAATTACTACTGTATTTCTCAGCCCAACATAGTAAACTAGATTTAGGCGAGGCCACTAAGAGAACAAAAGGATAAGGCATGTTAGACGAGAGGCATAGGAGGGTTAAAGCATGCAGAAACGGTATTGATGCACTCTTATCACATGTCTGACTCTAGGTTGGTTCCATGTGCATTATATTCAGTGCATTTTGAATTGGTTGCTTCTGTGGGAAGATCAGGCCAAACAATGGAGAAGACTGGTTAGTGAAAGTGTTAAGTGCGGGAAAGTGCGAAGCCTGTTGAGGAGTCGTGCTAAAAGATGGCTTGTCCAGGACGTTAGGGGTCCTGCAGCCTTGGCCGATGTCGCGCGTGGCGGACGAACTCGAAGAATATGTTTATCACCTGTCGGCGAGGAAGGCGAAAGGAGCAGTAGATCGTGCCGTGGGAAGTGCGTCACAAGCGTGACTCGCGCACGAATGGCGGTGTGGATCTCTGATGGGTGGGTGTCGCATCGCCGTGTCGTTGTGACAACTCACGTTCACGTTTAGTAAGATTGTGGTCGAATCGCCGTTAGTGTACGAAAGGCTGCTGACGCATACCCTTGAAGGATCATTTTCGACGAATGTGCCTAAACCCTTACTCGCCGAAGGTCTCTGAAGCCCGATGCTTGGCGTCGTGAAGAAACAAAAGTGGAATTAAAGTGATTCAGCGTGTTTCTGTAACACAGCAAGATAAGACTGATGCTTGGCGTCGTGAAGAAGCAAAACTGGATCACAGTGATTCAGCATGTCGTCCCTGTAACACAGCAACATAAGCCTGATGCGTGGCGTCGTGAAGAAGCAAAAAATGGATCACAGTGGATCCGTATGTCCTCCCTGTAACACAGCAAGACTCTGCAATTCCCATCATTCCCCTCACCTCCCGCTTACCGTTTTTGTTGCTCCAGATGCAGCACCACACAAGTCAAACGCGCATTTCTGACGCATTTTGGCACCTGCGGCCAGAAGGAAACACATATCATGGCTCACATTCCGCCAGAGGCGCTTGTGCGCAGCCCAAGAAAAAAGAGCGAGGGGGCTAAGCTCGCGATGCATTGCGGCATCAAATCAATGGCTCCCCGGCCTTCTAGAGGCGCTTCGAGCGAGGAATGGCCTCAGCTCGGCCACACTGGCTGCACGCGAGAGGTGGCAGAAATTGAGGAGGGAAGAAGGGGGGGAATGGGAGAAGCGGGGGAATGGGAGAAGGGGGGGAATGGGAGAAGCGGGGGAATGGGAGAAGGGGGGGAATGGGAGAAGGGGGGGAGCAGATCCCGGCGGGGAGAGTGAGGGAGTGAGTGAGGGAGCTAGTGAGGGAGCGAGTGAGGGAGCGAGTGAGGGAGCGAGTGCGAGGAGGAGTGGAAACCCTTTCACCAGAGAGAGTAAGTGTACGTGAGAGAGAGAGAGAGAGAGATTGAGAGGAAGTGTGTGCGAGAGTGTGAGAGTGTGTGAGAGTGAGAAAACAAAAACAGGGAAACTTACCAGCTGCACCAGCAGCGTCACGAGCACAACATCCCTTGCGACAAAGAATCTGAACTTGAGATGGTGGAATTGCGGGTCGGGCGGCGGGCACACGCGCAGCTGAAACCGCGTCTTGCACGTGGAGCAGTGGCAGAAGGCGAAGCCCTCCTTGGTGGCCCGCCATTGGTCCAGACAAGAACGGTGCACAAAACGCGCCGAGCCCTTGCATTTGCAAGGGGCAATAAGGTCGTACCCTGTTTGGGGGACGAAAGAGAAGGTTGGCGGCATGGGTACGAACGAACTGTGTTGAGCTATGAGACATCTCCAGGCATTTTTTAGACTTCTCAAGATTATCAATCGTGCAGAGTTTTTAGGCGCCTCAAAAGTACCAATCGTGCAGAGTCCTTGCACCTGCAGGGAACGAGGGGATGACCTGTTTGAGGGGTTGAGAGAGAAGGTTGGTGGCATGAGCAATGACGGCACGAACAGTGGCACGTGGAGCGATGATGGCAGGAACAGTGGCACGTGGAGCAATGATGGCACGAACAGTGGCACGTGGAGCAATGATGGCAGAAGGCGAAGCCCTCCTTGATGGCTCGCCATTGGTCCAGGCAGTACCCGTGGACAAATCGGGCATAGCCCTTGCTTTTGAGAATTCTCAAACGTAACACCAGGCAGTGCCTGCCCGTGGACGAATCGGGCATAGCCTTTGCACCTACAGGAGGCAATGATGTCGCAACACGACCTGGTGGGGGGAAAGTGGAGCGGCTGAAGGCATGGAGGGTACTACGACCTGTGGCAAGTTGTGAGACGCGCGAAAGCATGAAGAGGACCTGCAGGACAAATGAGGTTCGCGACCTGGTGGGTGGGAGGTGGAGAGAGAGAACAAGCCTGCACTTCGCGGCACGCACGGACTAAAAAAATCGCCACGCACCGTCACTCTCGAGGCAGATTCGGCACTGCGGTTGGTCTTCGTCCTCCGCCTCCTCTTCATCCCCTATCGTCGAGGCGCCTGAAAAGAGACAGCAACGGATCACTTGTACCCATTGTCGCTCTCGGGGCAGATTCGGCACTGCGGTTGGTCTTCGTCCTCCGCCTCCTCTTCATCCCCTATCGTCGAGGCGCCTGAAAAGAGACAGCAACGGATCGCTTGTACCCACCGTCGCTCTCGGGGCAGATTCGGCACTGCGGTTGGTCTTCGTCCTCCGCCTCCTCTTCATCCCCTATCGTCGAGGCGCCTGAAAAGAGACAGCAACGGATCGCTTGTACCCACCGTCGCTCTCGAGGCAGATTCGGCACTGCGGTTGGTCTTCGTCCTCCGCCTCCTTTTCATCCCCCATCGCCGCTTTCCCCGGAGGAGCCAGGCTTCTACGCATAGCAGCACTGCTTGAGAACGGAGGTGCTATGGCAGCAACAAATCGCTACATCGCGGAAAAGACAAGTGCCGAAAGTGACGTAATTGTGACTTTCCCGCCACTTATACGTATACGGAATTAAGGGATAAAAATGTGATGGTTGGAAGTACCGGGTTTTCTGTCACATACAAAGTGACCAAAAGGTCATGAAAATGTCACGTTGACGTCACACTGACGTCACTTTCAACATGACGGAAATGTTACGGCTATGTCATGTCACGTGCACGTCACGCGTTCGTAACCCTGCTGGATGCCAATGTGCAATCCGCCAAATGTCACAATTTGTCTGCTTTTAACGTCGGCTCGACATCTGGCGAGCATTAGGTCAGCGTGTCGACCATCAAGTTTCAACAGTCTACTGTACTGTGCGCTCCGGGTCATCGCACCCCCCAATCACCTGCCTGCACATGAACGACGAGGATCAACACAACATTGTATCCGCGCCCTTCATTTTTAGAGTTCGTACCCAATGCCGATGCACCATGTGTGACACACGCTTGCGCCTTATTTGTTGAAATTCCTGTCTGCTTCTGGCTGACCCCTTACGTGTACGCGCCAGATGACGCTGAAATATGACCACGTGTACGGCTTTAATTTTACATTTGACCCTTGTTCTACCCATGCATATCGATATCCCACCGTCCATGCCTGGGTGCATCGACGATACTGCACCACCCACGCCCCCATCACACGTTGAATTATGCAACATGTTCACCCGGGATGCCGTTGACAGTCACCGACCTGTACGGCCTAAATCATGTGACGCACGGATTTGTCCTCCACCTGGCATGCATCCTACCGTCCACAATTCCACACATCGACGACACTCGTCGCACCGCGGTTCCTCCATCTACGGCTGTAAACGTTCGTCACGCCCAGACGGATGCCATCATCTCACGGCATCCAACGGCGCTAGGTCGAGCCGCCTATTAACATCGGAGGAATCCTTTTGGCCGTTACGAATCCCTAGCGGTAGCAATGCCGCAGTATGGTTCTTGGGGCTATGAATACTCTTCTCAACATGCACTTGGGTTTGTGTACGGGATGAGTTTGAGCGACGGTATCTGACCATTCTCGATAGTGCTTCTTATATCCCGCTTCAATTACATATTCTCTCTTCTCACTTCATAAGCAACCTCCTCGCCCAGACACTAACCCCCCCCCACGTAAGGCAAATTAACTCTTCAAGGAAGAGTTCGTGTCAGTGAGCGTCATGGCGCAGACTAACGGCTCGGCGAGCCCCCATTTCAGTTAAGCCTGCGGAGTCCCAAGGCTGGCGCTTGCTTGGGCGCTCGCGGTCCTCCCGCCAGCTATGCTGTCCGCAGAGATGCGGAGACCATGGCGGCCCCAGGCCCACGTCTGAGACGCCGCATCGTACTCTGGCTTGAACTCAGCGATGGCCCGGGTAACAGCACTCTTCACAAGGACGTGGAGGCCATCCACGATGTGCGCGTTACATCCTGCGGAGTTTGATAGGCGGCCCTTGCGCGCCTCCCAGTTCCGGATTGCATCTGTCACCTGCGCACAGCACCGCACAGAAGCACGCATTCATCATTCCAAAGGCTGGGAAACCAGACCATTTTTATACGCAGGTGAGTCTTCATACCACGTGCTCCAGCCACGCCACGTGGTACAGCTTCAGCGTCACTGTCCCGTTCACCATCCTTGGCCTGAACGCCGCTCTTGCGCATGCGGTAAATGCGCCAGATGCGAATGGAATCCCGTTACGATCATAACTCCAGCGAGAGAGTGCAAGCCTCTATGCAACATTCACCACACAGGACATGTGCACGCATTAGACACGAGGCTTTCTCCATTTTCAGCGTGAAAGCGTTAAAACCACTAACACTGATCGTACCCGCGTCGACGTCTCCAAGGCCGACCCTATCCCGGACCCTCGCCAGTGTACGCATAGAGGGTGCTGCCCAGGGGCTTTTTGCGTCACGCTCGTCGCGAAACAACCCCAGCTTAGGGAGCGAGATGTCGCGGACCCTCCCAGCAGCACCCGTCTTCCAGTCGCTGAGAGACCTGTTGAAGTCGACCCGACGTGCCTTGTCAGCCGCGAGTGCAAGGCTTGCGTAGTTGACAGGGAGGTTATCAACGACTGCGCATATGCCCCAGGTCTTGGCGGCGCTGCTCGGGTAGAACGTCAAATGCTTGTTGGGCCGCCGGATGAAAAGATGGTCGCGAGCCTGCTCACATATTTGCTGCAGGGGCGACAGACGCTGCTCATCATCAACTGGCCCACTTGGTCCGCAAAACGCAGAAGCGCAAAATACACCCGCGTTGGCAAACATCACGTGAAGCGTACCTTCCATCCCTTGTCGGCAGGCAGGAGACTGAGTGCCTCTTGCAGAATCGCTGATGACGACGATCGAATGTGACCCTCCAGTCCTTCCTCGGCCTCTTCCTCATCCTCGGACTCCGTATCCGATGTGGTCCGTGTACGACGCGCCTTACGTCGCTTTCCATTGCCGGATGCGCGCTTCCGATGCCTCTTCCTCTTCTGTTCGCCGTCACCTGCAGGCTTTGCAAGAAACACAGATTCCAGCCTGGAAATTGCACGTGCTGTAGCTTCCTGCAGCTCGCGCAAGCTAGTCATCTCCTCCCGCGTCACCGGAGTTTCATCCGGCCAACTTTCCGCGCCAGCGTCCTCCTCATCCGCGCCTGCTTCTTCTTCGTCCTCGGCTTCCGCAGCATCTTCGTCATCGCTCTGCACGGGGTTGAGCCTCGGGAGGGCCTCATTGGGATTGTCATCCGAAGATGCAGCTGGCGGTGCTTCGGGTTCGCATTCTTGGCGTGCGGACCCCTGGAGGACTTCGTTAACGTTGCGTTTGCGCCGGCGGCGCGACGACTCCCCTTCCACAGCATCCTCCTCGTCCTGCCGGCTGGACCGTGCGGTTGACGAGCTACTGTTGGACGTGCTGCCATGCGACATTCGCGAGTCTCCGCCCCCATGGGAGGGAGTGACAGCTGCAGCATGTAAATGTGACGACACCAGATTAGTACCGTTATATTGGCCCCAAGCATTGCGGCGCACATAATTAAATCCATGTATGCCAAAACAAATCCATAAAACACGCCGACTTACGCAGGGCTGAAGGAGGAGCCCGTGCTTGCTGCGCATTGGCGTTTTTCGGAAGAGACCGACGAGGTTTGGCCGTCACTTGACGCCTAACTGTGCCAGGCAGAAGGTAAGAGTTCAGCAGGTAAGCTGGAGGCTGGGACACGCGCTGACTCCTGCCCTCACGGGACGAGACGGGTCCGGCGGTAAAACTGTCCATTGACGCTAGTTGTGTGGGCAGGAATTAGTCCATTTTGGCACAGACTGTCTATACTTACGCAGTGAGTGACCCATCCTGACCTCTGCTATGCCGTGTCTCCTTCCACGTGGCTCGCCCTTGGCTGCCAGACTAGTTTCGTCATTCGCCGGATTTGCACACTTGGCACTCGATGTACCCAACATTATCCACAGCCCTCGATACGTCGTCATGTCCGTGCCTCTCTAATATGCCAACATCAGTACACTTATCAGCATACATATTGCACAAGTCATGCGACGTGAGTTGTGGGATAACTACAGGTAAACACGTACAAAGCAATAAATGTATTGCTCTTATGTAAACATTTCTACAATCCTTGCCATTTCCTTTCACGTCCTGCTAATACAACCACTAGCATGGCTCAAACGTTTTTCACTCACAACAAACAAGCTAGACGCCAAGGATCCTATCCCAGCACAGAGCGAGTGGAATAAGTGACGCTCCTACCCCAGCTCTGGCTCTTGCATCTCCTCGTCAGCCGCATCATCCTTCAGTGTCAGCGGGTACTCCCCTTCGTCATCACCAATGCTGATAGGAGGCGAGCGGGAACCTCCATTTTCGAGAGGGGTGTCACAGCGGTCGTAATCAGGTGTAGCCATTGGTTCTCGAGATAATGCATGACAGTACGCACATCGGGGGTGACTGGTCCGTCGATGGTGTGGCGCACGAAGACGGGATGACCGGCCGGGTTTTCTATGCCCTGCGCAAGCTCGTCTTCAAGGCGAAACATTACCAGCGGCGGACACATGACGGTGCCGGCTGCGTTGAAAAGAAAGCCAATGTTGAGGTGCCAGTCGGGACGCGGGTCGAGTCGGCCATCACCAGAAATGCGGAAGGGCAGCTTGGTGGGCAGGATGGCTTCTTCCACAAAGCAGAACAAGTCCTGAGGGTGAGCCTGTAACTCCTCGAGCAAAAGGGCCATTTCAGCCATGGTGGCGGGAATTCAGCGCTTTGCACATGTGGTGCACGAGTTATAACAGAAGGAAGCGAGACGGATTAACGGGCTCTAATGACGGACAGTGCCATTACCCATGCGGACGTTATCCGCCACGTAATCAATACCCTAACCAACGTTGTGAACTTGCGTACGTGACATGGTCACATGGAGTATTGTCATTCGGACAGAGGGCGCCACTATCGACCGCATGGAGGGGGAACAGCTGGGATGAGTGGCCCGGATGAGACCAGTGTACATTGGCCCCCCCCGACCAGGGACTTAGATTCCGCGGATAGTACTGTAACCGGAATGGAGTGAGTAATACTTTTAGCGGGTTTGTTCCATAGCGAACATAGAAGGCCACAGTTGGACAGAACGAATGGTGGGCTAAACACAAGATCATAAGTAGAACTTAGCAACTGAGTGGGAAGTACAGTACATGTACGGCCCATCTGGCAGACTGATACCGGGCCCGGCGTTAAATTGACCGCTACACACCGTGCTTTAGTTTCAATCAACCAGGTCAACTGACGTGCCAAATGTCATATGGACCAACCTCGTTTCTACCGGCGATGAATACGCTGGAACCGAGCTGGGAGAGACCTGCAACAGTTGCAAACATTCAGGCACATATTGTGCCTTCGGATGGACGAACAGCCTTATCGGTAGGCAGAAGTTAGGGTTAGCACAAGCTCTAGCAATGCTGGGCAACGTCTGCGAGGCGTGCGGACTGGAGCATGTTGACGACAACACACTCCAGTCGCATGTGTCGAACAATATTAAATGCAGGCGCAAGATTCAACACTCCCGTGCCCAGCGGCTGGTGGAGGCGTATCGGGACGCGCTCCGCGCCAGACGCGGAGCCAGGCCCCAAACACCCGTGCGTTATACAAACAACAATGGAGGCGCTTCGGCGTCGGGCAGAGAAGTGGACCCTGCTGCAGTTGTCGATGAACCAGACGATCCCATAGTTCCCGCCGAGGAGAGCGATGGGGAGGAGAGTGTTATGTCACATATAGACGACGGCTTCAATACTCTCATAGAGCTGTACATCTTCTTCCGCGAAGCCGATCTGTCGCGACGAGAGGTGAATAGACCGCTCAGCATTTTCAAGAACCCTAAGTTCTCTTTGAGGGACGTGCGGAGGTGGCTCAATTTCGTGGATGTTAGACGGTTTGGGCGCGAAAGGGCACCAGTTGACCAGGTGCCATGGAAGACGAAGGGCGTCAAGTGCTATGGACCAAGAGGGAGGATGTGCACGCTGCTGTTGCACTACCGGGACACGAAGCTGGTGAGAAAAAACCAGAGTCACTCCGCATACATGGAATGACGATGTATAGATAAACTGTTTGTTATACTCATCCCTTAACACTTAGCGGGAGTGTGTTTGGCAGCTGGTGAAGAAGTTGTTACGAGCATTTCAGCACATCGCGGGGTTTGTCACCAAACCGCGCACGGACGAGGAGGACACCAAGGACGTACGTCATTACAGCACGCCGGACACTGGGAAGTGGTGCCACGAAGCGCAGGTGAGGTGTATGGCCATTGTAGAAGATAACGCCCGGATCAATTTATGCTAGTCCTAATACCGGTCTTTCAACGTGCACAGGCCAGCATGCCAGACGAAGACTGCATTGTGCTGGGGGTGATCGTGTACAGCGACAGCACGCACGCATCCAGGAAGGGCAGGCTTGCTGCGTGGCCGGTACTCATTAGTCTATACAACATCCCGGAAGCGCTACGCTGGCAGGAGCCGGGACACCTTATGGCGGGAGTGCTGCCATTCCCGCCAGAGTGGGCGTCGTCAACAGAGAAGACACGAGTATTCCAGGCGTGCATGGAAGTGATTTTTGAGCCATTACTCAGGGCACACCGAGGGTAAGGGGAGCGGTATATGTTACAAGCATAGTATGATGGATGAGACATGTAAATGACATTTGGTGTGACGACACGTGCAGTGCAGAGCTTCGATGGTTCTACGTCACCGATGCTACGGGAAAGGTGGTCAAGGCGTTTCCATGTCTTTTCGGACAGCTTGGTGACTACCCAGAGTCGTCAAGATCCACAGCAACGATGCAGCAAGGATCGCACCGGCCGTGTTCGTCGTGCTACACCAAGGAAACACATCTGTCCGACATTACGCATGAGTCAGTGGTGCGGACTGTAGAGCTCCATAGACGAGTACTGGCCGCAATCCACTTGGCCCCGGACTCTAAGGCGGCCGAGAAAATCAAAAAGCGATGGTCGACGTACCCGGTGCAGGTGAGAACCGAGTACCACACTAAGAAACCCTGGACTTCAGCGTGTGTCAATGCCCATCTTAGTGTGTCAATGTACATGAGCGGCAGTGTTACTTGGAGAGGTGGAACTTCGCAGAGACAACATGGGGCAACGTGTTCCTCGCATGCGCCGCGGACCTTCTTCACGTCCTGGACGCAGGCATGCTCCCACGCATGGGCAAGTGCTTCATGGTGGGGAAGAGCAAGCCAGAGCGAAGGGAATTTGAGAGGTGTGTACGCTCTCATCCGGATATTTCTAGCTGCCGCGTGATGAACATGCAATGCACGTGGCTGACCGTAGATGGGTGGGTTGGCAGGCGCCGCAAGGAGCAAAAAAAGGACACGCGCGCAAGTGTGGTGCGCATACCAGGAGGGGCCACATGGTTTAGCAGTGGGGCGAACTACGCAGCCTTCGAGCACAGGGGGATGATGCAGGTGATGCCCTTGTTGATTGCCGACAGTATGGCAAGGAGCAAACCCGCGGAGAAGGAGAAACGGCAACGGGAGGTGGCGGCGTTTGTGGCATACGCCAGCTTCTACAAGGCGCTTGTCGGCGTGACAAAGCACACGGACGACACCCTGGACGACGTCAGAGCAATGGCACTGACGTAAGTTCCGTGATTCGTGCACACCCTGGTGTGCACTAAACTTTCAGATTGTAGGAATGTGTAGGTGTAGTATGGGGAGTGGTGTGCAACGACATGTGCTGAAGATGTGATGTGCCATTACATCCGGACTTATATCCGCCTCACGTGTCGCTGTGCAGAATGATGGCGGCAATCGTCGCTGCGTTTCCCGACCAGATCTCAGGCTGGAACATCCCGAAGGTGCACCAGATTGTGCACCTGATTGCCGGCATCCCTATGCGTGGGTTGACGCACGAGACATCCACAAACCTATGGGAGCACACACACAAGGGCACAGTGAAGGTGCCGGTGCGAGGAAGCAACTGGCAGGACATTCCACGCCGCATTATCGAGGAGGAGGTGCAGCGCGAGATAGCGCGGGAGGTGTCCGCGGACGCAGGCGGCAACAGGCAGTATGTGACGGCGCTGCGCGAGGTAGTTGCAGTACACGGCATGCAGTCTGCGACACCATGTAGCATGACGTATTGTGTCGGAGTGCAGTAACCTCATGGAATCATTCAGCGACTGTATCACAATCCGTGTGCACACAGGCTGTACGGACGCGCAAACCCGTCCTGACGAAGAAATCACGTCCGGCCAATGTGGACGAGGACCTGGACGCGGTTATGTGGGTGTATCGCGAGGCACATGGGTCCGACATGGACGCACTCGCAGGGTGCAAGAGGGCGGCAGGCCTCCCGTCGCCATCCATCGCGGTGAGGCCGGCTTTTATGCATTTTCATGTGGCATGTGGACCACTATCGTGGGCCGCTCGTGCTAGAGTCCTGGTACTTGTGGGTACAGTCACCAGAATTGCCCTCATGTTGACCGTCATGCGCAGGTGCACACCGTGTCAGAATTATATTCTTATACCTGCATGTAGTTCTAGCTGTAGTGTAGATATTAACTTTATAGGCGGTGCACCTCTTTGTTTGCTATATGTACCCTAGTGCTATAGTGAACATCATTCCCATTCCTCTCTCCTTGGCACAAACTACCTCGACTCCCTTGGCCTAGGCTACTAAGCCTAGGCCCTCACTTAAACATATGCTTCTCTTTGCCTACTATTTCGACATGCTATCAGAGCCTGTTAAGTCCTGGCCTGTGGGCCAGCCTCTCGCTTCCGCTGCTGTTTTTCCGGTCGCGCGCCTCGGGCGCGTGGTAATTTTCGTTCTGTCCCGCGCCCGGGTGGCGCATGACGTTTTTTTCTGCCCGTCGCGGACCCGCCCCTGGCGCCCGCGACGGCGCCCTGAGCCGCCGCGGACCCGCCTCTGGCGCCCGCGACGGTGCCCTGAGCCGCCGCGGACCCGCCCCTGGCACCCGCGACGGTGCCCTGAGCCGTCGCGGACCCGCCCCTGGCGCCCGCGACGGTGCCCTGAGCCGTCGCGGACCCGCCCCTGGCGCCCGCGACGATGCCCTGAGCCGCCGCGGACCCGCCCCTGGCGCCCGCGACGGTGCCCTGAGCCGCCGCGGACCCGCCCCTGGCGCCCGCGACGGTGCCTTGAGCCGTCGCGGACCCGCCCCTGGCGCCCGCGACGGTGCCCTGAGCCGTCGCGGACCCGCCCCTGGCGCCCGTGACGGTGCCCTGAGCCGCCGCGGACCCGCCCCTGGCACCCGCGACGGTGCCCTGAGCCGCCGCGGACCCGCCCCTGGCGCCCGCGACGGTGCCCTGAGCCGCCGCGGACCCGCCCCTGGCGCCCGCGACGGCGCCTCTACCTCACCCCGCGCCTGCACTCGCTGCAGCCGCCCCTGCCCTACAGCGCGCCGACCCTCTGTAGCCGCTCTGCGGCTTTATTCCCCCCCCCTCCTTCGTCTCCCTGCAGCCGTGGGGGGAGGGTCTGGGGGTGGCGGGTGTGGGGGTGATGGGTGGTGTGTTTCCCTTCCCCTCCTCCTTTCGTTCCCACTGCTGCAGCTGCCGCTGGGGGGAGGGTGTGCGGGTGTGGGGGAGCCAGGGGAGAGGCACTGGGGTGGCGGGTGTGAGACCAACCAGCCGCCCCTCCTGAAGTGGGGGGGGGGGGGGGGGGGAAGAGTAAGGGGTGGCAGGAGTGCCTGCCCCTTTGCTGCTGTACCTGCTCTGTTGCCTTACCTGCTGTTGCTGTTTTCTCTGTCTGTGGTGTACCTCTGCAGGTTGTGTTCTGCACTTAGCTATTCCTGCATGCAGTTACGGGGGGATGTCAGAATTATATTCTTATACCTGCATGTAGTTCTAGCTGTAGTGTAGATATTAACTTTATAGGTGGTGCACCTCTTTGTTTGCTATATGTACCCTAGTGCTATAGTGAACATCATTCCCATTCCTCTCTCCTTGGCACAAACTACCTCGACTCCCTTGGCCTAGGCTACTAAGCCTAGGCCCTCACTTAAACCTATGCTTCTCTTTGCCTACAATTTCGACACACCGCTGTGGCGATACCCCGAACAAGAGGCGGGGAGCTTGTGCCGAAGGGTACGTTTGTGAAGGCAAGCCCATCAGAGAAGTGGTTTTTAGACGTGGCCGTGCTTAACCCAGACGAGGGAGAGTGGTACGCAAGGTGCCTATGCATCTTCAGGGCAAAGGGCGTGGATGGAGAGATGGGGAGGCACGTGTACGTGAAGTACTACGAGGCGGAGGGCACGTGCCCGATGACAACTTGCTTGCAGTTGACACCCGGCCGTGTGAGGACAAGGTATGATGTGGTGGACGTAGAGTGCATCCAGAGGGTGGTGCACATTTGCATGTCTTATGTGGACAAGCGTGTCATGCTGCTCAACAGGTTCCTGCTGACCGAGTGAACATGAGTGGGTTTGACTCGTTGGGTTCACGGGACAGTTCAGTGGCTTGTCGCACCGTGTGACACGCAATTGACGCTGATTATGTGTGAAAGGGCGATGACCAAAATCACGTGATGGTGACCACACAACACTATTGAAGAGTATTTTATGCAGTATATGTGGGTTGAGCATGACGGTAGTGTATCTTACTTTGACATTCCTAATTGCGTAGACACACAACAGACGAGCCCAATTAGCAGTGGTCGCCGAATGGCGAAAAATGTGCGGCGCGGGGAATTTACATTGGCGCGGGAATCCCAAATGTGCGGTCCGTCGAAAACGTGCGACACATTGCATGAAATGTGCGGTGCGAGCATCCAAAGGCCGAAAAGTGTATAAGGGGAAAACCCAAAATGTGACATTTGCGTCACATGTGGTTTGGGGTCTGAACTGTATGGGACTTTTTGTATGCTTTTTCGTAGAAAAACCTACGGACCCCTGAAATGTGCTTCTTCCTTTTCCGCGATGTAGTACGCACCGTCACTTTCAAGGCAGATGCGGCACTGCGGTTGGTCCTCGCCCTCCCCCTCCTCATCCCCAACCGCCACTTTCCCGGAGGAGACAGGCTTCTCCGCATAGCGGCACTGCCATTGGCATTGCTTGAGATCGGAGGTATCATTGTCGCGATTGATGATCCTGACGCATCCCCGCTATTGAGTAGCGGAGTCAATTCGTCAACCTTAACAACCGATTGCTTTCTCTCCGCCTCCATTTTCCCCGACTCCCTATCGCTCTCCCTCTTGCGGTTCGTCCCCGGTGATCCATCTATGCTTTTCCTCATGTCGCCATCTTGAGACGGTTCCCCTTTCATCTCACTCGAGTTTTCACGCAACGTATCGGAAGGTTTTGGGCAGAAGCCGCTGCCGAATGGACGGCGGAGATCCATCGACGGTTCTATCCCCGGCCTCCCGTGTTTCCCGCTGCCGCACCAAGCTCGCGATTTCCCGCGCCGCGGACTGACGGAAGGGCGTAGCTATCACGAGTCGCGACGATATTAGATCTCGTTACAGGACCTGCAGCAGTTCGGTATTGACTTGTTTAAAACGGGCGACGGCCGTGTTTGACCCCTTGTTCGTGCAGTCATTGGATGGGAAGGGATGGGAGTCAGGGGGAGCAGTCAGGATTCGCGATTCGGGAAGGAGTGTGGTCGGTGGGAAGGTGGGACTCTGGGTGTGACTGCGGGAGGAGCAAGTCAAACAAGTCACTCCCGCAGTCAGTCCCATCCCACCAATCGGAAGGTGCGAGTGACGCAGACATCGCTAGTTAGGGACGGCATCCGAACGCGTGAGGAGGAAGAGCAAGTCACCCCTTCCCGAGCCGAGTTGGAAGGAGTAGTGCTGTGGTGTGCTGTGCTCTGCGATTTCCCTCACGCTTCTGACAATCCCCCCACCCCACCCCAAGCGGCCAACTTCGCTTGATTGCTGACTCAGCAGAGCTCATGACTCATGAGACCCACATCTTTGCTGACTCGACAAAGCGCACCTCGGAGTTGTTGAACAACATTCTCACAATCCCCCCAGCAGCCAAGTGCGGGGAAAGCTGGATTGCTGGAGTTAGAGGAAAGTGAGGGAATTGTAACACAGCGCACAGTAAAAGGCTCCACTGATGGTATTCATTTACATTCAGTGTTGGCAATCCATGTTCTCAACTCTTTCTTAAACCTTGTATTTGACTTGCTCTCTCTCACAAGCTCATTCTCTTGCTGAACATTCCCTCTCCCACTCCCACCGGCCCACCTGCTGTATCTGATTCCTCTCGTGTTGCTACCCCTGTACCAGTGATTGCACTACCACACATTCCCTTAACCAAGGGAAATGAAGCTAGGAGAATTGAGAAACAGCAGATTGCCTTGCGTTTTCCACGTAACCAACATCCCTTCCTATCGCACCCTTCCTCTAACCCATCTATGCAGTCAGGGTACACTCGTAGCCCATGTCGACATCAGGTCAGACACAAGTGGAGGTTCGGAAGACCTGAAGTGACTCATCTGTGATGGTGAGGCAATTCCAAGTTCGGAAGAGACAAACTGGAGACTAAGGGCTGATGACATGATATCTGACACGCGATAAGAATGCAACCTCACTATTTACACACCCTTTCCTCTTCCCCATCTATTCTCTCACTTGGGCATGCCAGCAGTGGAGGAGGGCATTCCAATATGATCGCTTATGTGGTCCACCTGGAAGGGTTCGTCTCCCAGGGGTTGTCAGCCCCCCCATTATTTGCTGCATTTACGGCAGGTTCTCACTCAGCCAAGCCAGCAGCCCAGGGTTCTGGCGCTCCCTGCCACTGCCATGCCCCCCAGCGTCACCCTACCCTACCTCTCCCAGTATAGTATTTCATTCTGGCATTTGCCCTGCGTTTATGGCAAGTTCTCGCTCAGCCAAGCCAGCAGCCCAGGGCACTCCGCCATGATGTCCCCAGCGCTCCATGTCGGGGGCTGTTGCTCCCTTGCGCTCCCAGGCCCTCCAGTGCCACACTGAGCCAGGGGAACAAATGCACCAGCAGGTGGGACGGCAACAGGGGAGGGAACAAACACAGCAGCAGGTCCATTGGCGAAGGCAAAATGGGATCTGATATTGCGTGCAAGGGCAAACAGGTCTGCCAATGGTATACTAAGCGAGGGAGAGGAACAGAGCAGTGGGTAGGATGGCAGGGGCGAGTGACTGAATCAGGAGTGCTTGATGCATGCAGACTGTGGAAAGAGTAGAAAATCCTTGGAACAAAAATTGTGAGGCTTCTAAGTTCGGGGAGCAGTAGAGAGAGAGTTGATGCTTTGTGTGGGATACTGCTTGAAATTAGACTAGGCTCGCAGTGCTTGCTGTATGTGATGGTGATGGTGATGGTGACGGTGATGGGGAAAAACATTGTGAAAGTGATGGTGAAAAGTCAACACGTCCTCATACTTGTGCCACATGTGATGGTGAAAATTCAACAGGTCCTCACACTTACAGTGCCACATGTGATGGTGAAAAGTCAACAGGTCCCCATACTTACAGTGCCACATGTGATGGTGAAAAGTCAACAGGTCCTCATACTTACAGTGCCACATGTGACGGTAAAGCTCTTGAATGTGATGGTGATGGTGTGTGACGGTCAGAGTGAGTGTCTGCTAGCAAGTATGCATGCATGCTATCCTATGGCATGCTATCACATGATGACAAGGACATTAGCATAACAAGCGCTGCCCGCATAGTTCAAGAACCCAAGTTCCCGCTTCATACCTTAAACTCCTGCTGCCATGCAACCGGGCAAAACTCAATCTCATTTGTCCGCCGCCCACCTCCCTGCTTGTACTCAATCCCATCCACTCGTGCAAACTTCCACACTCTCCCTCCCACCAACGCCTTCCGTACAGTCACATGCCGAACCGCACACACTTGGAACCTTCTGCTTCTGTCGCTCTGCCCGTTCCTCTCTCCAAACGCCCTACCAATGCCATCACAACCGCCGCTACCATAACCAAGAGCTGAAGACTCATAGCCTTCGGTCATGTGAGCTGGAATGTGCAGCCCTCCTGGTGTCCAAGAGTCGATCTGTGAAAACTCCAAAATCCTCTTTATTGCAGCATCTAGTTCATCCTGTATAGGAGGGCAAGACAGGGTTTCAGATTGATAGAGAACAGGAAACGCCAACATAATGGAGCTCAGTCAACAATCTAGTTTGTTTCCGAGCATGCATGTTCGTTATAAAGTCTCTCTGGAGTTTAATGTAAAGGCTTCGTATTGTCTCCACGCTATTAATTTGCTGTTTCGGATGCAAGCATATGCTACTGAAACATGGATGCATGCACAAGCCGCTTCCATGCACGTCCATGCACGCCCATCCTCACATCCATGCGTATGGCATTGAAACATGCATGCATACCCCACTCACATGCATGCAAACGCCACTCACACACATACAATTACCATCACATTCACGCATATGCGACTCACATCCAGCGTAATCATATGCGTTTCTGTGAACAAAATCAAGCGAGCATCCACGTCCTTCTCAGGCCGTGCTATGTCAATGACTGCGTATCGCAGAGGCAGCTTCTTCACCTGAATTCGCAGAAACAGTGAGCAACCAAAACAATCATCTTCAAGACATCGCATTTCGTTTTAGGCCAGTATTATAGGCAGAACATAATAAAAATAATAAGCATGGGAAGGAAATGCATCAATCCCCATTCTCCCAGCTAGTCCTACCTTTTTTACAAGAAATAGTCGCTCCTCTGCAAGATATGTACACACCACCTTATAACGAATGTGTGCCTCAGTATCAATAACCTGAACAGGCACAAAGACCACAAATCAATCATATATGTCACCTCCTTATAGACATGCACTCGAGCAACAGCCAACACGGCATAAATACCTGAATGTTGTACTTCTCACTAGATGTATTCAGAGTAGCCGTTTGGCATGAATCACCAGCATCCCTCATCAGCATGTCTTCCAGTTTGCTGTAGACGCTGTCAGGGACGTGAGTCTCAAACGTCCTGTGAATCGGGACCTTGAACCGTGCTCGCTTGTTCATGTGATTCTCCAACGCTTGAGCAGAAAATGATGGTAGCTTGGATAAAGATTCCCTGGAAATCGAGATGAACAAAAGAAGGCAGGAAATAATTTGGTGGGGCTTTGATTGAGCAGCAAATGATTTCTGGATTACAAATTCCTGGAAAATCAAAGCAGAAGAAGGAAGTAAGGAACCCAGACAAGCCCTGGCCGAAAGGGTTTCTCACGAAAGGGTTTGTTGGGATCAGTAATAAAGCACAGTAATAGCAGGATGCGGTCACACCAAGTGGATGCAGGTCACAGCTAACCTGGCCTGCCTTGAGCAGGCTCTATTTTTCAGGCACCTTAGATGAATAACAATCCACAGCCACACCTGGTACATGAGAGCACACGTACCCTGGCCTGTGTTGCACGGAGAATAGCAATTTGCCAAGCCGAACCAGGAGCTTCACCTTCCCGATCTCGCCACAAGCACCACCATCTCCCACCTCCAGAGCCCGCTGCTCAATTCTCTCTCGAACCAGATTGAGGGATTCGATCAGAGGCTGCCGAATTGCATTGATCAGTGGGGCCTCTTCTGGGCTGTCCTCGTTTCCCCTGCTGTTCCCGCTGCCCTCCCCATTCAAACCTGTAAGGTTTTCGCTATCCTCGCTGTTAACATCTCCATGAACCGACCATGAATCCGTACCAGAATCATGCTCCAGATCACCCAAAGTGCTACTTCTTTTATACAGCCAATTTTCGACATTTCCCTGGAATGGGGCCTTGGCAAGCACGGCAAGAAGTGTATATCCCAAATGGGGATAGCACTGGTTGCGAAATTCTCTAAAAAGAAGGGAAACTCTCTGGTCCGGAGTGAAAATAAGATCGCCAGCCTTCTTATCTTCGTAATCATCCACGAGCGCTAGTAACCGCACGTCGCTGGAATGGTAAATTGGGCGTTTGGATCTGAGCACTAATGGGATCGGCCTTCGCGAGTCTCGGTAAGTCATGATAGAAAAAAAGGCGCGACAAATCTCTTGCGAGGACTACCCTTCCGTTCCGATGCGTAAAAGAAAGGAGACGAGCTTGGTAAAGCTAAGCTGTTACGTGTTCGGCAGAAGAGGGTTCTACTGTCCACGTCGTCTTTCTGAGCTGCTTTCATGTGAAAAAACTACCACGGATGCAATGAGGAAACCCAAGAGCGTCTGTTCTGAGTCTCTCTCGCCATACTGGATCTCGGAAACGCACAGAATGCGCGCTTTGCTGTCTGTTCGCAGTTCTCAATGCTTGTGCCTATGTCGACGTGATCATCAGGCCTCGCCACGAAATGTTCTTGCTTCGTACATATTACGAGTCGCCATGCTTATCGTACGAGACAGCTGTTCAGGATTGGGACCAAGTAGTAAAATTCAGTGCACCAGTAAAGACATGGTCGTTCTGCAGTATTTTGCTTCATAGGAATCGAGGATTCTATGAAGCAAGAATCTGTCGCCTAGAAGTGTCGCCATCGTCCCATCCGCTTTCTCAACCCACCCAACCTTCCTGCACCGAACCGTAGCCTACCATATCGCACCCAACTGTGCTCAAGTCCTGAAGTGTTGGGCCTTGTTTGCTTCAGGTGTGATGGTGACAATTGCGAAGCAGCGGGAATACACCGAATTCGCTGTAAGCGGAAAGTGCGCTGGTTCAGTAGCATAGGACCTAAAAATCAAATGCCATTGAAACCTAATGTTTTCTTGTAAAAACATATCATGCTAGAACCCTGCTAGTGCGCCTCAACCGATCATATCCACAAGCCATGCTTCTAACATACTCCAGCGACCCAGAGAGCACGTCGCTGTTGACAGCCGCTCCCTGCTAAACTCTTCACCCAAGGGTGCAAGTAGCACACCAAGCAAGGAACACTTGCTCCCGCATCGCATCCCCCATCTTCACTGTTTGCTGAATTTATGGAAGGTTCTTGCTCAACCACGACAACAACCCAGGGCATTCCGCCATGATCTCCTCTGTGGTCCACGTGGGGGGCTGCTGCCCCCTGGGGCTGGGATGCCCATCAGGGCCACCCTACAGTGGGGGAATAAGCGCATCAGCAGGTGGGATAGAAAGTGGGAATGGGGATGTGACAATGAGTTGCTGTTGATGTGCATGACACCACATAAGTATTTAGTCATGCATGCATCCTCTCCTAAGCCAAAGATACCATGCACCCTTAAAAATAATTAGTTAATAAAGGAATTAATTTTCCCCTTCATACCTTAAGCTCCTGCTGCCATGCAACCGGGCAGAACTCGATTTCATTGGTCCGCCGCCCGCCTCCCTCCTTGAACTCAACCCCGTCCACACGAGACAGCTTCCACACCCGCCCTCTCCCCTCCGCCCGCCTCGTCGTGGCATGCCGCACCGCTCGCACCACAAACCTGCTGCTGCTCCCAGCACCAGCAGATCTCCCACTTGCCACACCACCACTATAGCCCCTGCTAGTCGTGCCACCATAGCCCCTGCTACCAGTACCACCACCACCATAGCGCCTACTGGTGGTATCAGAGCTTCCATGGGTTTCTGTCATGTGAGCTGGGATGCGCAGTCCTGCTGGGCTCTGGGGGTCGATCTTCGTGGCCTCGAGAATGCTCTCTAGCGCCACTTCTAGCTCATCCTGAGAGGGGAAGGAGGGAAGGGAGGGCGGGTTAAGGGGGGGGGTAGAAGGAGCTGCATAGAGTTCAGTCAAAGAGCGACGGGGGAAAGGAGGGAATCATGTGGTTTATGTGAGCTGGGATGCGCAGTCCTGCTGGGCTCTGGGGGTCGATCTCGGTAGCCTCGAGAATGCTCTGTAGCGCCACTTCTAGCTCATCCTGCAAGGGGAAGGAGGGAAGGGAGGGCGGGAAGGGGATGGGATTGCAGAGTGTTGTGTCAGAAAGTGATGGGGGAAAGGATTTTGAAGGGGAGGGGAGAGGGCGGAGGCGGAAGCGGAAGCGGAGGGAGGATAAAGGAAGAAGAAAATGCACACTGGGATTGCAGAGTGTTCTGTCAGAAAGTGATGGGGGAAAGGATTTTTGAGGCGCCTCAACAATTGATGGGGGAAAGGAGGAAATCGTGTGGTTGATGTGAGCTGGGATAAGCAGCCCTGCAGGACTCTGGGGGTCGATTTTTGTGGCCTTGAGAATTCTCTCCAGCGCCTCTTCCAGCTTATGACGGGGATAGGGTAACGATTTGGGGATAGAGAAAACGAGTACAGGGAATGGGGTGGGAATGGGGAGCAAGTGGGATTGTGGGGTGAGGGGAGGAGGGAGACCAGAGGAAGCAGAAGGAAAATGATGTCTAAAAACCAAAACTCGGTAGAGAAACAGGCATGCCAGTAGGAAGCTCTCTGAAACAAAATTCAGTGGACAATACAAAGGGTGACAAAGGGTTTGGTGTCTTGGTTGTGCGTACATCCAGTGCTGTCAGATGTGTCTCGGTGACGAGGATCAAGCGCGCGTCCACAACCTTGTCAGGGCGTGCAATGTCGAACAATGCACGGCGAACAGGTGGCTTCTTCACCTGCATTCACAGGCGAGACGAGAGCAGTCAGAGCAGTTTTGAGCATCATGTGAGGTTGGTCAAGTACAGAATATGCTGAATTTTTTCAAGAAGTATTGAAAACACTGAGATGTACTGATGAATACTAGGGAGCAGGGAGATAGTGAGCACGGGTGAGAGGATGATCATCACAAGTTGAAACCTGCCTACACCATAATGAACCAGCAATTGTCCTGAATGTGCACTAACTCTTTATGATCCAGCCACTGCACCTTTTTCACAGTCAATCGCTGTTCGTGAGGGCTGTGTTTGCAGACTGCCTTGTACACGATGTGCTCCCTCGTGTCCACCACCTGACAATCAGCACGCAATCAATCACAGGCATAGCCAGAACAACCAGCAGTGAGGCTGCCTTGAACAGCCTGATACAAGCCTTTTAGCGAATCTCCAATCTAATCCCATCCTGCTGCAGTGCACGCGTGCACCACCATGTGTGGGGATAAAAAAACCTGTCTCTTAGCACTGCAGTGCAAGCAGGAACAATTTGAGACAGTAAATTGTGTGCAACCCACCTCGACCGCTCTCAACTGCTCTCAACCAACCTGCGCTCACCTGAATTGACGTATTGATTTTTCAGCGAGTGTGCCACTTGCCCTCCATTTGCTGGTATGCACTCTCCTCGAAGTGGCACTCATAGGTCCAGTATCACCTAAAAAAATAACCTCAACAGCTCTCAACCACTTTGAAACGAACTCCACCACTGTCAACCACTCTCAACCCACCTGCACTCACCTGAATGTTGTACTTCTCCCCCAGCGAGTGCGCCACCTGGTCATCCCCCAGCAGCATATCCTCCACCTGCTGGTATGCACTCTCCGGGAGAGGTGGCTCTCTTAGCTCCGGTACAACTCAACTCACTTCAACCAATCTCAACCACTTTCAACCTCTTGTAAACTCTCTCAACCACTCTCAACCGACCTGAATGTTGTATTTCTCCCCCAGCGAGTGCGCCACCTGCCCATCCGCCAGCAGCATGTCCTCCACCTGCTGATATGCACTCTCCTCAAGGTGGCTCTCGTAGGTTCGGTACACCTGGAAAATAAAGATCCCACCGCTCTCGACCACTCTCAATCGAACTCTACCATTGTCAACCATACTCAACCGACCTGAATGTTGTATTTCTCCCCCAGCGAGTGTGCCACCTGCCCATCCCCCAGCAGCATGTCCTCCACCTGCTGGTATGCACTCTGCGGGAGGTGGCTCTCATAGGTTCGGTACACCTGCTTTACAAATGGTGCACGCTCGTTCATGTGGTCTTCCAATTTCTTGGCTGAGAACGGCGGGATGCTGGTCAGGGTAGCGCTGGGACTAGGGAGGGGAGAGGGCGGAGGGGAGAGGGCGGAGGCGGAAGCGGAAGCAGAGGGAGGATAAAGGAAGAAGAAAATGCACACTGGGATTGCAAACGGTGCGTGCTGTGCTTGTTCTCGAATTTCTTGGCTGTGAATGGTGGGATGCTGGTCAGGGTAGCGCTGGGACTTTTGGAAGGGGGGGAGAGAGCGAGGGGGGGGAGGGAGGCAGGAGGGGAGGGGGGTATCAAAATGAGCTTGGAAGGAAGATGTAAAAAGATCCAGGTGGCATCACTATGAGCAGCACGGCGAAGCAGCAAGGGCAAGGACCAAGCAGTAAGGTGACAAAGCTTCAAAAGATGGGACAAGCATACTGCCCATGAAACGGGGACCTATAAACTGAGCTAGGAGACAGGACCAGCTCGGCACTCACTCCGGCCTGCCTTGCACGGAGAAGAGAAGCTTCCCCAGCCGCACCAGCAGCTTCACCCGCTCCACACCCCCCTGCGCGCGCCCTCCCCCTTCCGCGCCTCCGCCTCCTCCTCTGCCGGCCATCAGCGCGCGGCGCTCCAGCATCTCGCGAACCGCGTCGAGCGCTTCACTTAGAGGATGCCGAATCGCGTCGTACAGCTCTGGCTCGCGCGGCCGCCTCGCGCCGGCGCGCCGGGGAGACTCCCCACCGCTGCTCTCGCTATCGCCATACTCGTTATACGCTTTTTCGGTTTCGGGATCGTAGTCCTCCCAATCATCCTCGCTATAGCTCCGAGACGCGACGTTCCCGACGCTACCAAGGCCGGCGCCGTGAATCACGGCCTTGGAGAGAACCGCCATGCGCCTATTGCGGAGATGCAGATAGGTCTGGCTATCGAACGGCTTGAACTCGAGCGAGACGCGCTGATCGCGCGTCAATCCGACGGCTCCTGTCTTGCGATCCTCGTAGTCGTCCACGAGCGTGACCACCTTCGCGTCGCGAGCGTGCTCGACGCGCCCGCCGCCGCCTGACGTCGATCGCGGCCTTCGTGCTCCCCACTGCGCCATGCTGATGTTCAGGAAATGGACTCAGCAATGACAGAAACCCGTACGACGGAAGCTTAGGTGATGATGAAGGAACAGGGCTGCTTCTCAGCGAGCTTAAGAGACGTTGCTAGCGATGGCAGGAACTTATTATTGAGCGGCACGATTCGGGTGATACTAATGGCGATGATTTGCGCCGCGGTTTAATAAAGACGGGAGGCCGGTCGCAGTGACATCGACATCGGAAAGAACCTAAGTCAGCCAAAGCTCGAGACGCAGAACAGGGGGGTTGCCATAACGAAATGGATACGTCCAGGCGTTGACGCGGCTCGCTCAGGAACCGTGGCGCCAGAGCGGCGTAGCTCGGCGAGCCGCCATGAACGACAGGCATGTCGTTCAGGCGGCTTCGCAAAGCAATCGGCGCGTTTGCCAGAGTAAAGTCGCATCTTTTCAAGTCAATCGCTGAGAGGACTCGCGGAAAACTGCAATGCATGCGCAGGAGGCGGCTCTTGCAATCCAGGACGAGTTCTTAACGAGCCGTAAGACGTAAGGCGGGAGGTATGCGAGGTAAGGACGTGCCCAGCGCGTGAGTGTTGAAAGATGTGAAGCAGATAGACACGATGCAGTAGGAATACCCAACCGAGGAACGCACTATTTGCTGTGAAGCATGGTGGCCCTGACAGCCTTGGGTTGTCGCATCCCGTCCTGCGGATCGCGTATGCTGAGACAAGGCGAGAGCTTTGCGTGGGTGTCCTAGCTCTACCCTCCAGGTAGGTGCTCCGTTACGCTCGAGTAAATGAATAATTGCCAGTTCATAAAATAAATAGTTGGAAAAAAAACAATTCTACAAGGTCCTCTAGATTGATGGATATGTTCCAATAAATGAGACTAGAAGTAATTTTTATTGAGTTTTATATGGAAATTTTGTTGAATTTTTCATCTAAACGAATCAAATGTAAGCATTTGTACGTCATACCTGAATACTTTGTTTCTTTCCTTTGTTTAGTTCTACTGGATGAGAAACACCATAGAAATACAGCACTTCCGCTGTGGTAACTGGATTAAGTTTCTAGTGAGGAAGCGCGTATGGTAGATCCAGGTGTTGTCCATAGCCTGTCAAGCCGCCTTGGAGCCCCCATACGAGGCGCGAGGGCGCAAATGAACTAATCTCCTGTCGCCACGTGCTCTAGCGCCTCGATAAGCAACGCCGCCTTCGCGGGTCGTCATCAGAGTTCGCTCCCCCAACCAAACCACCCTTTCACTTCGCTCAGAAAATCGTCAGCGAGAAATTCCGTCGCCACCAATAAGAGAGATCACAAGTCGTTTCGCACACATACCTACTGCACATCCAAGTCGTCTATCCCATCGCCAATAAGAAGCTATTCTCGCACAAATCTGCGGCTTGCTCTCCCACCCAACCCTCACCTGCAAATCCCCCCCGCCCAGTGCTCGCCCCTAGATTGCCGCCACACACGGCAACTCCATTCCATTCACTCCCGCAATTCGCCCTTTTTCCTCCTTTTCTCCTCTGCCTCGACCTTTCTCCCCCCACCCCATCCTCTCCCTCATCATCCCCCTCAGCTTTCCCCGTCTGCTGACGCATGGCGGATCCCAATCAAGATCTGGGCTGCTGAAGATTTGATCACCCTTCCTCCCTTCCCTAGTGCTTTTGTGAGTTCCTTGCCTTGCCTCCTGTGTTCCTTCATGTGTGGCTGGGAGTGGACGATGCAGCCCCATTCTCGAAGTCTTTATGCGCCATTAGCCTCGCTCCTCAGTGCCACTCTACAAGTGTGATTCACTCTACGCACTGACTTATCCTAGGTTTGCCCCATGTGAATGCGCCCCGTACCGAAGTCATTGAACCATTCAGCTGCCCTAGCAATGGGATTCAGCCCATGCAAACACACTCACAACCCGCGGTTTTAGTAGTTGAACAGGGAGATTTTCCACACAAAAGAAAAGGTGAATTAGACGTCGCATCCCGTAATTCCAAAACGCAAACACTGCATCAATCGCGCGCCTCATCAACTAGCAGCGGCGAGCAGCTGAGTTGCGATACAGGAGGTGCACGGTAGCCGTGGTAGGCAGTGGCACGGGAAAGAGGGTAGGTTGTATCCAGCATGGCCGACAGAAAAGAGGGCCACGCGGGCGGCCTTGACTGCGGCAGTCGAGCGAGAAGAAGCGACGAGGGCAGCAGCAGCGACAGCATCAGTAGCTATGGAAGCAGCCATGGCAGTCTCACCGTCGCAAATGGCACCTCCATCACTGCAACCGCCGCCGTCGCCGCCGCCGCCGCTGCCGAATCCACCTCCGCCGAAGTCGCCGTCACAGCCATCACCAGCGCCGCTGATTCGGAAACCGAAGCGCTTTTGTCTTTCGGCACGTCATCCAGCGATCCGTCAACTCCTCGCGACGATTTTTCGTCAACTCCAAGCGAATCGCCCTCTCCGTCGCCGCCCTCGCCGCAGTTCGCGGTGAGCGACGCGGCGCAGCCGTGGTCGAGGACAGGTGGCGCAATGGCATTGGACGCCGCGAGGCTGATTCAGCAGGTCGGGATGCAGCAGCTCATGCGCCGCCGGCAGTCGCCGCGCCGAGCCTCAGCTCCGGAACAGGTCCGGTCCGAACCTATCCCAGGCACCAATTCGTTTCGTGATTTTGTGTTGGCTTCTGCTTTGGTTCTCCGTGCCAACTTCGCACTTCTACGATTCTTTGTTTATACATCTTTTTTTGCTTTTCCTTCTGTTTTTTAATATATATTTTTTTTCAGCTGCCCGACCCGCAGCCCAGCACTTGGGCGTATTCCCGCCCGGTGGTCATTCTCGACGCGTTTTGGAACCTCGCCTTCGTTGTAGTCACAGCCATCACGCTCTTTATAAGCCAGGCGCGCAACGAGCGCCCGCCCGCGCCGCTGTCCATCTGGTTACTCGGTTACGCCGTGCAATGCGCCGTGCACGTGATCTGCGTGTTGCTGGAGCACGAGCGGCGGGAGAGTCGGCGCGTAAGGGAGCAGCGGGAGCAGCGCAGGGGGAGGAGACGGGCGCGGGGGAGGGGGAGGGCGGGGAGGCGCGCAAGGGACGGGCGGAGAGACAGGGGGAGGGAGAGAGGGGGAGAGCTTGAGAGGGGAAGCGGGGGGGCGACGGGGGGGAACGGGAGCGTGAATGGGGAGAGGGGTGGAGGGGGGGATGCAGAGGGGACAGAATTTGATGTACCGCTGAACCAATCGGGGGAGCTGGGGGGAATAAGGGGAAGCGGAGATTGGGGGGGAAATGCGGAAGGGACGGGAAGCCGGAGGGAAGGGGAGGGAGAAGAGGAATTCATCTCCATTCTACGCAGGAGGGACGCGGGTAGAGCGGTGACTCTAGACGAAGCAGCTTCGGTGCTTATAACGGGACGGGATCTGGTAGTGGACAGGGAAGAGCGGGAGGGGGAGGCACTGGAGGGGCTTCTGGGGGCGGAGAGGGCGGGCGGGGAGGATGGGAGAGGGGATGCGCAGGCAAGGAGGGTAGGGAGAATGGTGGGTGAGGAAGGGGCGACGGTGGAGGATGAAGAGATGATGGTGGGAGCTGTGGATGAAGGTGAATCGGACGACTCAGATCAGAGGTAAGAAGCACTGCGGTGGTTGGTTTCCCTTCCTCTCTCTTAGGTGAGTAAGAAGCACTGCAGCGTGCTCCCCTCCACTCTCCCATGCTCCACCCACCACCCGACCCTCCCTCTCTCCACCATGATTCCCTACCCCCCCACGCACCATTTCCCTCTTCCTCCCTCCCCACCTTCTCCACCCTCGCACGCCCCATAGAGTTCGCCAACACCATGTTCTCCTTCGCCTGCTGGCTCAAGCTTGCTCTCTCCTTCTCTCTCTCTCCTGCTCGCCCTCTTGCCTTCCCTCCCTTTCACCTATTCCAGCCTGGCGCAATGCGTAGAGTCAGCCAACACAATGTTCTCCTTTGCCTGGTGGCTCGAGCTCACTTCCTCTCATGCTCTCTCCTGCTTGCTCTCATGCCTCCCTCTCTCCTTCTCACCCTCTCACCCTTTTCCAGCCTCGCACGGCGCGTCCGGTCAGCCAACACCATGTTCTCCTTCGCCTGCTGGCTCGAGCTCTCGTGCTCGCACATCTCATACTGTCATACCGCCTCCCCCTTTAATCTTTCCAGCCTCGCACGGCGCGTCGAGTCAGCCAACACCATGTTCTCCTTCGCCTGGTGGCTCGTCGGCTTCACCTGGATCCTCTCCACCATCGACGACTCCTTCAAAGATGCTCCCATCCTCTCCTGGTGAGTTCTTTAATTTCCTCTCCTGGCAATACCTTCCATGTAATGCTCTTCAACCCGTGCACCCACCCATCCTTCGCCTGGTGCCACCTGGATCCTCTCCACCATCGACGACTCCTTCAAGGACGCTCCCATCCTCTCCTGGTGAGACTTTCTCCTGGTCTGTCCTCCCATGGTGAGACCTTCAATGTAATGTGCTCCCATCCTCTCCTGGTGAGGCGTCAAACAGAAGACACCAATCCATGCGCCTATTATCGCCTGGTGGCTCGTCGGCTTCACCTGGATCCTCTCGACCATCGACGATTCCTTCAAAGACGCGCCCATTCTCTCTTGGTGAGACTGACGCCCCCGGCAGTCAGCCCAAATACTTAAATCTCTCTCATCCTCCGTACTCTGAGACCTTCAATGTAATGTGCTTCATTCAGTCCACGCGCCTATCTTCGCCTGGTGGCTCGTTGGCTTCACCTGGATCCTCTCCACCATAGACGATTCCTTCGAAGACGCCCCGATCCTCTCCTGGTGAGTTTGATGCTCCCCACTCATATACGAGACTCCTGCTCATTCTCCCGATGGTGGGACCTTCTCTGTAATGCACTTCAATCCATGTGCCCATCCTTCGTCTGGTGGCTCGTGGGCTTCATGTGGATCCTATCCACCATTGACGATTCCTCCTCACTTCACGTCCTCCTCACCTCTCTCCACCTTCCTTCACCCCCATCCACCCCTTCATTCCCTCGCATCACCGCATCAGGGCGATCACAGCCTTCATAGCATTTGACATTTTCTTTGTCGTCTTTTGCGTGGCTGTGGCGTGTGTGGTGGGCACGGCCGTGTGCTGCTGTTTGCTTCCACCACTCTCCTGATCACTTTACTGTTGGTCTTCCTCACCCCTCTCCACCCCTCTGAACTCCCCCATACCCTTGCATCACCATACCAGGACGACCATGGCGTTCCTGGCGTTTGACGTGTTCTGTGTGGCCGTGGCGTGTGTTGAGGGCATGGCCATGTCCTGCTGCCTGCTTCCACCACTCTCCTGATCTCCTCACTTTCCCTCTCCCTCACCCCACTCCACCCCTATCCACCACTCTCCACCTCCCTCGACCCCCCCATACCCTCGCATTTCACCACATCAGGGCCACTACCGCCTTCCTGGCGTTTGATGTGTTCTTTGTGGTCTTCTGCGTGGCCGTCGCATGTGTGGTGGGCATGGCTGTGTGCTGCTGCCTGCCCTGCATCCTCGCCCTCATCTATGCAGTTGTAGATCAGGCAAGTGCGGCAAGCAGCACAGTGACTGTAATGAATGTGATGTGATGTATGTAATAGATCATGGATGCAATGAGTGGATGCGGGATGAGCATTGTGTAAGTATGGTCATCGACAGCTGCATCATCACTCTTGACTATTTCCTTATAATTGCTTTGAGGGTTGTGGGCTGTTCGGGCTGACCAGCGTGAAAAGTGCTAGCAGCCTCAACAGTGATGATTTTTATGTTCTCTTGCTCAACAGTGATGATTTTTATGTTCTCTTGCTCAACAGTGATGATTTTTATGTTCTCTTGCTCAACAGTGATGATTTTTATGTTCTCTTGCTCAACAGTGATGATTTTTATGTTCTCTTGCTCAACAGTGATGATTTTTATGTTCTCTTGCTCAACAGTGATGATTTTTATGTTCTCTTGCTCAACAGTGATGATTTTTATGTTCTCTTGCTCAACAGTGATGATTTTTATGTTCTCTTGCTCAACAGTGATGATTTTTATGTTCTCTTGCTCAACAGTGATGATTTTTATGTTCTCTTGCTCAACAGTGATGATTTTTATGTTCTCTTGCTCAACAGTGATGATTTTTATGTTCTCTTGCTCAACAGTGATGATTTTTATGTTCTCTTGCTCAACAGTGATGATTTTTATGTTCTCTTGCTCAACAGTGATGATTTTTATGTTCTCTTGCTCAACAGTGATGATTTTTATGTTCTCTTGCTCAACAGTGATGATTTTTATGTTCTCTTGCTCAACAGTGATGATTTTTATGTTCTCTTGCTCAACAGTGATGATTTTTATGTTCTCTTGCTCAACAGTGATGATTTTTATGTTCTCTTGCTCAACAGTGATGATTTTTATGTTCTCTTGCTCAACAGTGATGATTTTTATGTTCTCTTGCTCAACAGTGATGATTTTTATGTTCTCTTGCTCAACAGTGATGATTTTTATGTTCTCTTGCTCAACAGTGATGATTTTTATGTTCTCTTGCTCAACAGTGATGATTTTTATGTTCTCTTGCTCAACAGTGATGATTTTTATGTTCTCTTGCTCAACAGTGATGATTTTTATGTTCTCTTGCTCAACAGTGATGATTTTTATGTTCTCTTGCTCAACAGTGATGATTTTTATGTTCTCTTGCTCAACAGTGATGATTTTTATGTTCTCTTGCTCAACAGTGATGATTTTTATGTTCTCTTGCTCAACAGTGATGATTTTTATGTTCTCTTGCTCAACAGTGATGATTTTTATGTTCTCTTGCTCAACAGTGATGATTTTTATGTTCTCTTGCTCAACAGTGATGATTTTTATGTTCTCTTGCTCAACAGTGATGATTTTTATGTTCTCTTGCTCAACAGTGATGATTTTTATGTTCTCTTGCTCAACAGTGATGATTTTTATGTTCTCTTGCTCAACAGTGATGATTTTTATGTTCTCTTGCTCAACAGTGATGATTTTTATGTTCTCTTGCTCAACAGTGATGATTTTTATGTTCTCTTGCTCAACAGTGATGATTTTTATGTTCTCTTGCTCAACAGTGATGATTTTTATGTTCTCTTGCTCAACAGTGATGATTTTTATGTTCTCTTGCTCAACAGTGATGATTTTTATGTTCTCTTGCTCAACAGTGATGATTTTTATGTTCTCTTGCTCAACAGTGATGATTTTTATGTTCTCTTGCTCAACAGTGATGATTTTTATGTTCTCTTGCTCAACAGTGATGATTTTTATGTTCTCTTGCTCAACAGTGATGATTTTTATGTTCTCTTGCTCAACAGTGATGATTTTTATGTTCTCTTGCTCAACAGTGATGATTTTTATGTTCTCTTGCTCAACAGTGATGATTTTTATGTTCTCTTGCTCAACAGTGATGATTTTTATGTTCTCTTGCTCAACAGTGATGATTTTTATGTTCTCTTGCTCAACAGTGATGATTTTTATGTTCTCTTGCTCAACAGTGATGATTTTTATGTTCTCTTGCTCAACAGTGATGATTTTTATGTTCTCTTGCTCAACAGTGATGATTTTTATGTTCTCTTGCTCAACAGTGATGATTTTTATGTTCTCTTGCTCAACAGTGATGATTTTTATGTTCTCTTGCTCAACAGTGATGATTTTTATGTTCTCTTGCTCAACAGTGATGATTTTTATGTTCTCTTGCTCAACAGTGATGATTTTTATGTTCTCTTGCTCAACAGTGATGATTTTTATGTTCTCTTGCTCAACAGTGATGATTTTTATGTTCTCTTGCTCAACAGTGATGATTTTTATGTTCTCTTGCTCAACAGTGATGATTTTTATGTTCTCTTGCTCAACAGTGATGATTTTTATGTTCTCTTGCTCAACAGTGATGATTTTTATGTTCTCTTGCTCAACAGTGATGATTTTTATGTTCTCTTGCTCAACAGTGATGATTTTTATGTTCTCTTGCTCAACAGTGATGATTTTTATGTTCTCTTGCTCAACAGTGATGATTTTTATGTTCTCTTGCTCAACAGTGATGATTTTTATGTTCTCTTGCTCAACAGTGATGATTTTTATGTTCTCTTGCTCAACAGTGATGATTTTTATGTTCTCTTGCTCAACAGTGATGATTTTTATGTTCTCTTGCTCAACAGTGATGTGCCAACCTCTTGCGCATGTTTCCTCTGCCCATGTTATCCTTCCAGGAAGGAGCTACACGAGAGCAGATCGAAGCTCTCCCCAAGTTCAAGTTCTACCACCATCGCACCGCCGCTAACAGCTCCTCACAAGCCAGCAGCATATGCCCCTTCCACTCCTTCTCCTCATCCTCCTTCCGCCTCTCCTCGTCTCCCCCCCTCTCTTCCTCCACCTCCTTCTCCTCCTCTCCAGCCGTCCGAACCGCCCCCTGCCCCTGCTGCTCCTCCTCTGCCTTTGCCGGTGCCATGTGGCGCAACGCGGTTGGCTTAGCTGCTCGGCTCTGGAGGCGGGCAGGCCGGGCAGGTGGAAATAACAGCAGCGGGAGAAATATTCCAAGTGGCGATGCTCTGGACGTGCGTGTGACGGTCGAGGAAGAGACAGGTGGCGTCATGTCATTGGTTGGTTCAGCCCACCCGCCAAGGCAGAGGCATGTGGAGGCAGAGGATGCAGAGTGCTGTGTGTGCCTTGTAAGGTATGAGGATGGGTGTGTGTTACGGGAGTTACCATGCTCACACCACTTCCACACGGCGTGCATTGACAAGTGGCTCAAGTCGCACCCGACATGCCCACTATGCAAGCGTGACATTACTAAGGGAGTGGGGAGCAGGCCATCACCAGACACACTGCCAAGTTTACTCTCTGCTGGACCATCGCCGGAAGGGGCTCTTGAAAGCACTCCAGGGCCAAGTGGGACACCATAAATATGGTTCTCAATTCAGAAATATCAGCTGGAAATTTGTGTGGTAGCTGTGACCTTGAGTTTTAAAGACCCATGGAGCACATAGGAGCCATGCATGAAGTACACTTTTGCGTGAATATAATGTTGTGTTCATTGAACTCTCGTACAGAGAAACTATTGGTGTTGAATAGTTGTAAGGAATTTTCTCGCTATTCCTTACCGCGCGCGACCGTCCACATTGCGTACAGCAGCAGCCGTTGTTCGCCCGTTACTGCTAACGGGGCTTCGCCAACTTCGCGCGCACTGTTTCACCAAACCTCGCACTGCTGGAGCAGCCGAGTCAGCCTACGCTTTGGGACTAGCCCGAACCTCGCGCCAGCGTAGCACTAGCTAGCTCGCACGCACCGCGTTACCGTTTGCACATTTTCGCGTATAAGTATTCGCTCATGCCTTCGCACATATTGTGTACTCATTGAACACTCTAGTGCAATCCTCGCTACCTCGATTCATTGCACCCGTAACAATTGGTTATCAGAGCCACAATCTTTCGGACCGCGCATCTCCGCACCCCAGGAAATCAACTTTTGTTTTTTCACTCGAAGGGACTCACGCCCCTTAGCACCTAGGAGCCGCTGTCCTCGCGTTCTCTCGTAAACGCGTGCAGCCACGACTGCGCCTAGACTAAGCTGAGCCGACGCCCTTCGTTATGGCTGAACATATCGACGACCCGACGCTCACGCAGGACCGTTTGAACGAGCTGCTGCGACAACTCCACGAAAGCTCTGAAGAAATCGCAACATTGACGGCCGAACGCACGTCCCTGCAAAATGACGTCGCACGAGTACAGCAAGCACAATCACAAGCACCTGGCACTCCGGGATAACCTGCACCACAGGCATCACAGCACGGCCATGTCCGCTTGCCCCACATGCGCCCACATCGTCCATGTCCGCTCGCGAGCGCGGCCAGTGATGGCGTCGTCCGCCACGACGGAGACGACGACCACGGCACGACACACCCTGGAGCGACGATTGCGGCCAGGAGCCAGCCTTGCGTCACGATTTCGGCACCGACCAATGATTCGGCACTGCCGTCACCGATGCCGCTGAAGCCGCAGCGTCCGCCATGCTTTGACCCGAGTCAACGGGGTGGTCCTACCGTTCAGGCGTGGTTGTTCACGTTGAACGTATTTTTTTACGCCAACTACGTCTCGGAGGATACGTCGAAGATTCGCTACGCCATGTCGCTGCTGCGAGGACCCGCCATGGACTGGTGGCGTGTCATCGTCACGAAGCTGATGAACTACGCGACTCTATCGACACAGGAAGGACAAACCGGACCCTGGGCGCCGTCGAATTTCGTAGTTGTGCCCCAATATTGTCAGAGGTCCACTGGTGATCCCCGATTAATCCTAGGGAAGAGTTACAGGCTCGTTGTCCTGGGGGGTTATGGGCGCACTGACCCGCTACTTAACAAGCCATTTTATCCCAATGGTATAGTGGTTGGGATTCTGACATGGTATCAAAGCGAAGGTCTCGGGTTCGAATCCCAGTGTGTGCACTTCAGGCATCCCAGTGCGTAGGGTGTCGGAGGTCCACTAGTGATCATCGATTGATTCTAGGGAAGAGTTACATGCTCGTTGTCCTGGGGGATTAAGGACGCACTGACCCGCTACTTAACAAGCCCTTTTATCCCAATGGTCTAGTGGTTGGGATTCTGACAAATATCGCACGTGGGACGCGTGGTGCGCAGGTCTGCGCGCTCGATTTGAGCCAATTGCGGCTTCGATCGCAGCGCGTCAGAAGCTCCGCACTTGGCGCCAACTCGGTTCCGTCCAAGACTACACTAGCGGGTTCCTGGCGCTGTGTGAGCAAGTGGGATACATGCACGAAAGCGAGTGCATCGACCACTACATCGGTGGCCTAAAGCATGATATCGCCCAAGAAATTCAGCTCCGCGGCGTCACCGACTTCCAGGAAATTCTCGCCATGGCGGAGAAGCTCGACTTCTTTCGCCGACCGAGGCCGGGGTCCTACGGAAGCAACAGCAACTGGGGACATCGATCTCGTGGGACGAACGAGGGTGCCACGATATGTGCCGTCGCCACGAATGCCGCTGCCCCATCGTTCAAAGGGCGTTGCTTCGCGTCCAATCGGCCAGGACACCGCAAAAGCGAATGCCCGGAAAACGCTAAGGGAAAGGGGGAAGCTGAGCAGCAGAAACAGACCAAGCAGCAGGGAAACGCTGGGAGTCAGTAGCAGATGGGCCTTCTACTGACAGGTCACGCCGCTCGCCCGAACCAACCGACCCTCACCAAGTGATTGTGCCAGTTCACGCAATCGACCACACCCGGCCGAATAAGGAGGGTACTTCGGTAGACAGCCCCATACTTCTTAGTGCGAAAATTGGGATAGACTTAGTTAAAATGTTCGTGGATGGGGGAGCCATCCACAGCCTGATCAACACCGCCACGGCACGAAAACTGAGACTGCCACTAGACAAATGTTTACCTGAGATCGACGTAAGACTGGTTGACGGCACGCCACTGGCGATACCGGAACGCGTAGACCGGGTTCAGATTCGATGCGGGGGTAACTTCACGTTTAGCCAGGAAATGCTCGCGACAACCCTCGACGGAACCGACATTTTACTCGACCGTGATTGGCTGCGACGACACAATCCGTGAATCGACTGGACGACGGGTGACTGCAACGTGCGAGTGAACGGTAACAACATCGCCTTACCTCGCTGGGGCTCGCCGGAGTCTTCGTCAGTGCGTGTCAACGCAATCACGATGAAACGCGCCGTAGCGGCAGGAGCTGACGTGTATGCGGTCGACATTCGGGAAGCCGAGGCAGCAGTCAAAGGGGGATTTACAGAAACTGCTAGCCGACGTACCGGATGACTTCGCAGCACTACTGAAGCAGTACTGTGGGATTTTCCCGGATGACCTGCCGACAGGACTGCCACCTCAGCGGCCGCACGACCACTGGATAGAGCTAGAACCGGGGGCACAACCGACAGTACAGCGACAGCTCCGACTGACCCAACCCAAACTCGACGAACTGAGGAAGCAGCTGTTAAACTTATGTTTATTATATAAACTGTTTGCTGTAGTTACTGTAGTGTTTGAGGTATTTCCTGTAGGTGGTGCACCTCCCTTGTTTCCTCTTTGTACCTTGCTCAATAGTGAAACCACTCCTTTCTTCTTTCTCGACACTTTTCCCTTCACCAAACTCCCTCGACACTCATGCCTAGCTCAAACCCTAAGCATGCCTCCTAATCTCTCCTAGCTACTATTTTGACAGTAGCTAGACTACCTTCTCGAGAAGGTGTTCATTCGCCCGAGTTCGTCACCCTTCGCAGCGCCGATACTGTTCACACCGAAAAAGGACTGGGGTTTTCGCATGTGCATCGATTACCGCGCAATGAACAGGGTTACCATCAAATCCCGTTACCCCATCCCACGAGCCGACGAACTGATCGACCAACTGCGCACAGCCCAGGTTTTCTTGAAAATTGACCTTCGATGAGGCTACCACCAGATCCGAGTCAACCCACCTGACTGCCCGAAAAAAGTTTTCCGAACACGCTACAGATCCTTCGAATACATCGTCATGCCCTTTGGACTGACCAACACCCCCGCAAATTTTCAAATGACCATGAACGAAGTCTTCCGACCGCTTTTAGATAAGTGTGTCATCGTGTACCTCGACGACATACTGATTTACAGCCCAAACAGAGCACAACACCTATAAGACATTGAAGCAGTTTTTAAAATACTGAGGGAGAACCGCCTACTGACGAAAGCATCTAAGTGTGAGTCTTTACAGGACAGACTGGAGATTTTGGGACACATTCTTTCAGCTGAAGGAGTGGAAATAGCCCCGAAGAAGATCGCGACGATTCAAGCGTGGCACGCGCCGACAAACTTGACCGAGTTGCAGAGCTTTTTGGGGTTCATCAACTACGTGCGCCGGTTCGTCCCCGACATGGCGAAGTTGACTGCTCCGTTGACCGACCTGCTGAGGAAGGGGGTTGAGTACACGTGGGGGGAGAAAGAGCAAGCTGCCTTCTCGTCCCTCAAACAAATTTTGTGCTCGCCGCACGTGCTTCACATCGCAGATCCGCACCGTCCGTTCGAGCTCGTCACCAACGCACGTGACATCGCCGTGGGAGCTGTACTGTTGCAGGACTTCGGGAACGGCCTCCAGCCAATCGCGTACGAGTCCCGCAAGCTGCACCCGCCCAAACGCAACTACCCGATACACGACCGCAAAATGCTGGCGATCGTGCACGCGTTCAAAGTGTGGCGATGCTACCTGACTGGCGCCGACGTGACAGTACGGACAGATCACCGATCACTACAGTACTTCCGCGCCCAACCGAATCTCAACCCGCGACAGATCCGCTGGTTGGACTATCTGGAGTCCAACTTCCACTACACAGTCACGTACAAAAAAGGTGCATCAAACATCGCCGACGCACTCACACGTCCTACCGCCCAACTCCACGCCATCCTACTCACCCAAACCAACCCACTGTTATCAGGCCTATTCACCCACGGATACAGTACCGACCCATTTTTCACGATCGGAAATTCACAGCAACTGGCAGAAGCTAAGGTAGTCTATTACGTAAAAACAGGCACCAACCGCATCTGGGTACCCGCATACTCACTACTTAGGGAACTGTTACTACAGGAGGCACAAGACGGGATTACCTCAGGCCACTTTGGGGTAGAAAAAACGTGACAGCAATTGCAGCGGTATTACTACTGGCCGGAGATGTTAATGTCAGAGGTCCACTGGTGATCCCCGATTGATCCTAGGAAAGGGTTACAGGCTCGTTGTCCTGGGGGGTTATGGGCGCACTGACCCGCTACTTAACAAGCCCTTTTATCCCAATGGTCTAGTGGTTGGGATTCTGACATGGTATGAGAGCAAAGGTCTCGGGTTCGAATCCCTGAGTGTGCACTTCGGGCATCCCAGTGTGGGGGGGTGTCAGAGGTCCACTGGTGAT